CGCTCTCCAGCTATGGTGTGCTGCTGTGGGAGCTGCTAACAGGAGAGGCACCCTACAAGGGGATTGATGGACTCGCCGTCGCCTACGGAGTCGCTGTCAACAAGCTCACCCTGCCCATCCCTTCCACGTGCCCTGAACCCTTCGCTCTGCTCATGGCAGGTGGGACACGTGTGTGGAAATGTAATCGATTGTGCTCATAGCGCTGTCTAGGCCGTGTCTCTCGGTTCAGTGGTGTGAGAGTACTCTTGCGTGAGATCCTGCCTTTGCTCTCTTTCCATTTCCCCAAAGCTGGACTGAAATTGAGAAAACAAATTTCTGTATGTTGTTAATAACGTGGCTGTGGAGAGGAAGTGTTTTGTGCTGGAGCCACCTCATGCAATATGTTTGTACCCATTTCTGTTCTTCCTTTCTTCAGTTTCAAGTTAAAAAAGAAATGTCACCCGGGTACTTTCTAACATGCTGCCAGCCGGTTTTCCGCTTTGCTCCTGACGTGCATTAGCCAAAAAGTAGACACAGACAGTTTACATTCTTTCCGCTTAGCCCCTTCTCTTGATGTCTGCTTGTGATTTACGGTTGTCTTAAAAAAAAAAAAGGAAAGAGAGAGAGAGATCAGTGCACAAAAAACACAGATAGCCACCTCAGAGGATTAATTAATTATCAGATTGGTTTTTAATCTGCTTGTAGTGCCCAAAGTGTTGCAGCAAATTATGCAAAACCCCCCACAGCAAGTTAATTAAGCATAACACTTTGAATAAGTGATCAGCTTGACTCTAGATTGTGCTCACACAAGTGCCTGAAGTATGTGTAAATAAAAATGAGAGGGATTGCTGGATGCTCATTCAACATGAAGTGTAATGAATGCAGCAACATCCATCTTAGTAGTTAGTAGTCTTTTGACCTAATTTTAAGTCTTGAAATTCAAATGGAGGGATTGTTTTTTTTTTGCCAGTGCAAATCGGTACGCGTGAGGATTATGGTGAATCAGCGAGTGACTTCCTTCTTTCAGGTCCCTTGATTCATGAAAACACTCAAAAGAAGTGAAACTGTACTGGAAACAAGTGAATCGGTCTGACTTTATCGTCAGATATTTTCCACTCATTTTAAGGAAACGGCTCAGTACCAAGCGAAATAACCTTTGATTTTCTTTTCCAACACCAACCTCCTTAATATCTATTTTGGTCTGCTTTGGTCCACTACTTCCTTATTTCTATTCTTTTTGCCTCAGTGGGAGGACAGCCATGCAGTCATGCTTGACAGATACGTAATAACTCTGTATCTGACCCTGGTGTCTGACTGTGTCTGCTTTGTGCGTGACAGAGTGCTGGGACCAGGACCCCCACCACAGACCCAATTTCTGCTCCATCCTGTCCCAGCTGACGGCCCTGGAGCAGCAGGTGAAGGAGGAGATGCCGCAGGACTCCTTCCACTCCCTGCAGGAGGACTGGAAACTGGAGATCCAGGACATGTTCGATGAACTCCGGGCTAAAGAGAAGGTCAGAGGCTGTGTCCTTCTTCTTGATCATCCATCCATTTGTCTACCTGGGGTTTTCATTTCTTGTTGAATTTGTGGAACTATACTACTACACTGTTTAGTTATACCATGTAGTGTTAAATATCAGCTAAGGTTGGTAACTTACAGGTGGGTAAGTATCTGCACTGATGGCACTGATGTTGAGTTGTCAGGTCTTCCGCTCAATGTACCCTTGACATTTAACCTGATTTGTTGTCAGCTCTAGTAACAAATAAAAATATCACAGTCCACGTGCCACAGCCGTTTGTGGCCCTTCTTTCAATAAAGATATACTCTCCTGTTATGATATAACAGATGCTAGCAGCATCTACGCTAACCTCTAAAGCAGCCACCCTGTATCTGCCAGTACTTCCTCAATGAACTCTGATTGGTCTGGTTCCACTGTAGTTTGACCACGGCAAGTCCCTGGCAAGTTGAATTCTTGCATGATCTCATGATTTTGTGATCTTGCGAATCCAGCTACCTCGCAAGGTTAAAAAGGCATAATCTTAACAAAATTTAAAAGGTATAGCTAGGTAAGATATTATAAATACATATAAATAGCAGCTATTTTTCCCACTCTTAAGCCCAGTTCAGACCAAAGATTCACGGCCTTCTGCAAACCTGTTTACACCAATGCAACCAGAAAGGATGGTTTATCGTTTCCATAGCAACGACTCTCTGTTCTTCTAACTGTCTGGCTTTTTTGTAGCAGGCTATAATTTTTAGCGTTCTAAAACATGAATGCATCGATTGGCTGTTAAAGTAGATTCTTAAATCTTATATCTTGTGTTGAGCTGAGACGGTCCAATTAACAACATCCTAAAAAGGTTTCGTCTCATCATGATGAACTGGGCTTAACGCCTTAACATTATCAATACAGACCTGAAACAGGTCATTTATCCACAAAAATAGCTCTCCGCGGAAATGTTAATTTAATTTTAGATGTTAATTATGGTGCCGTGTGGGCCTTGCAGTATTTAATGTAAGAGTCTGGGAGGAGAAGTCCACATGCTGCAACCTTTTCAGCTGTGCTTGAGTTCAAACACTAATCTGTGGAACATCAAATATAATGTCAAACAGCAATTGTGAGCCATTTTGGCATTAATGCAGATGAAAGGTTTCATTGCAACCAACCTCTCCAGCAACTCATTTCACACTGTCACTAAGGGGGAGATGAGATCGTGAACCTCAGTCACACATGACTGGGACCCGCTGATATTAAACACCTCCTCATCTCTTTCCTCTGCCTCCCCCTCAATCAGGAGCTGCGATGCCGCGAGGAGGAGCTGAAGCGAGCGGCTCTGGAGCAGAAGTCCCACGAAGAGTTCCTGCGTCAGCGAGAGCAGCAGCTGGCCCAGTGGGAGCAGGATGTGTTCGAGCGCGAGCTCAGCCTCCTCATCCTCCACCTGAACCAGAACCAGGAGAAACCCAACGTCAAGAAGAGGAAGGGCACCTTCAAGAAGCACAAGCTCAAGAGCAAGAACGGCGAGAAGATCAGCATGCCTCAAGGTGTGTGTGTGTGTGTGCGTGCGTGTGTGTGAACTGTTTGTGAGTCATTTGTCAGATATCATCTAATAGCTGGATTGTGTCAGCCAACAGTCTTGACAAGAAATCCTGTTTCAAGGGCCCTCACTGGCTCAAAAAGCAAAAAAAAAAACAACAACAACAGTAAAAAAAAAAATGAAAGAGAGCAGAGAAGAGGAAGTGAGGGAGAGCGTTTTGTGGTGCAACCGTTGTAATTTTCTAGCTCGGCTTTGCTGAAGGTTCCTGTCAGGGCCGGACTCGTGTAGGTTTAGGGGCAGATATTTAGAAAAGGAGGCTGCAGATAGGCGTCATTTCCTGCTGTCATACAATAGCTTTGAAATTGTTTACTTGTCAAAAAGGAAATGTCAAAACTGACAACTCTTCGAAATGTTCCCTCACTATTTTATTCAGAAAAAGGCCCTGAAACAACATTGTTAGACATAGAAATGAGTAAAGCATTGATCCTTTGAAAGGCGGACCACACGTCTGATATCTACATTGACCAACACAGTTTATGCTGCTGTCAGCTCAGTGCTGCTTCTTATGTATCCTCCACTATCACACAGTCACACAGCCTGTTGCAGTTCACATCCAGTGCTTTTCAATGCGTGTGTGAGTGTATTTTGGGCTGAGCAAGCATGCGTAAATGCACTGTGTGTTTGTGTGTGTGTGTTTGTGTGTGTGTGTGTGTGTGTGTGTTGTGGTTAGGCCTTTCCCAGCAGCAGCAGGGCGGTGATGTGGTGGTGGTGGGGGGGTTGATGAGAGGGGAGAGTGAGCCAACCACGCCTCGACACTTCCTGTCCATGGATACACTGCTGGCTGGCCTCTCTCACTTTCTCGCTCTCACCCTAGGCCTCTCTCCCTCCCTCCCTCCTTCCTTTTAGGTATCCCTCCCTCACCATTTTTCTCTGGCTCCTCTCCCCTCTGGCTCCCTAGTCGGTGTTTTTAATCTCCTTCTAACCATATCTGTTTGACTCCTTTTCTTTTTTCCCTTCGTCTTTCCACCAATATTATTATCTGTTTTGCTCCATCCCGTGTTGCTCTTGCACTCTGTGGAGCAGCTTATATATTATGCTTTATCCTGTATTCTTTAAAAGTAGATATAAATAAGAACACGCTTAGGATGCTCTTATTTAGGATTTGGGATTTAAAGGTTTTATTTGTCACATACACAAACAATATGTGTAGTGGAATACAGTGTGGCATACTCTTAAAGCTGTGCTAAAAGACTAGTGTGAAAAGTAAGAATTTAAAAAGCAATATAAAGAAGAAAGATAAAAAATACATAATGTAAAAATGTATTATTGAGTAATAGAGGCTTTGCAGTTGCATCACAAATTTGGCTCTGTCATTGTTATATAGTGGCTAAATATAAAGGGAAACAATATGGGAAATAGAGAGGTAGCTGAGTAACATTGTTGTGGTGTGGCTGTCATTAAAATTGAATATGATTGTAAAGGAAATCTGTCAACATCTATACTGCTTTTAACCTTTAGCCCTAGTGGAGTGCCGCAGGGTTGACATATTTTTATAGGCCTTCCCGGAGGTTCATCCTGGTTCCCTCTACAGAAAGCCAGTGGGATTTTTATCTGTTGGATTATGGATAATTGCAGAAAATAAACTCTGTGGCAAGTTTATGATACTCTGACATTTGGTTCATCAAGTGTAAATGAAGTGTAAATAGATAAAAAGCTAATGTTAGACTATAAACGGAGTACATTGTGGTTGCATCACTTGTTTTATTGCATGCTGATGTTTAATGTCACCAACAACCTCTGTAGTTTGATTTAGCCTCTTGTTAGCAACCCCTATTTTTAAGACAAAGCTTTAAAATTCAGAGGTGGGGTATTTACCGACTTGGTGTAGAACAAAGTGTGAAAATATCTGAAGCTTCTGTTAACCACAGATTTAAAGCATCTACCCTGAAACCCTTTTGAAAAACCCACTAACTTTGAGGCAATGTAAGCGGAAGTCATTTCCGAGTTTTACGACTCATTCCTGCAGCACTATGTTTCTGTTTCTAAGCACTTGTAACACACATAACTTGACTCAACTCGGTTAGCCTGAACTAAATATTAGCTTCTTTTGCCAGCTAGCCAGCAAGCTAGTTTAGCAAAATCCCTTTCATGTCAACAAACAGTTGCTAATGCTAATAGTAGCCGCTTGGTTTGGAGCCTGATGTGTGTCACAGGGAAGAATTCTGTCTCCTTTAATTTATAATTTGTGCAATTAATTTATGAAGATGATATCAAACTACATAATTCATTTATTACCTCAAATGAATAGTGACATCTCCTTCATCCCATTTGTCAGTGGCCTGACAGTCTCACCACAGACCTCTGCATTTAATACTTTGAATGACATTGGGTCATCCTTAATATCCTTTAAATGTAAGTCAATAAGTAATTTAAGAACATCATTTAGTAATGAGGGCACAATCCATTACTTAAAGGGAAGGAATTAAGAAATCCAAGTCTACACATTACAGATTGAGGGAAGGAAATGGATGTATTGAGTGCCTGTTAATTTTAGGTAATGGTTCGTAACTTCAGGGCATGAATTACTTACTAGAGAGAATAATTTGTTAGAAAATGTCCCTCCTGATAGCCACCGGGCTGTGTAGCTCATTATTAGCAGTGTTGCTTTTCATTATCAGCAGCAGGCAAAGTACTAGCTTGCTACTGCTGCTATATGCTAGCACTGCTCGTAGCTAATTGTCCAGCAGCCTGATGAGTGTTCCGAAAATCATTCCTCAAATCTAGTAATCTGTCCCTAACTGTCCCCTAACCCTAAATCTCTCAAATTACTAATTCTTGCCGTTAGTAGTTAATTTGTCCCTGTACCTTCAGTTTAGCAATTCAAACTCTTAAATCCTGATTCATGATAGTGTACCACCTTAATTCCATTTGATTTAACTGTTTTATTTTTTATCTACTTCAGGGTTTTTTATGGTTAAACACAGTGTTATACACCTTCTACAGCCCTTAAATGTATTTTACAAGACAGCAGATATCATTTTGCCCTAAAATGAATGGTTTAAGTACTGGATATGGGAAGGTGTGTTGCTGCATAAGCGAGAGCGACGGGGCACATTAAGTCATTTGAAAACCAAGCCTTTTAATTCAGCTGCACATCTCATTAATTCCAAATAAAACCAGGTTCCTGATCCAAAGTGAGAAACATTTTAAAAAGTCAATGAGTTTATTTCGCATTTTGAAATAGAATTTTCCCTCGTGACACCGTCTGGGCTCTGTAGTTTGCTATTAGCAGTGTTAGCTAGTTGCAGGTAGTAGTAGTAGCATGCTATTAGCCACAGTTAGTTGCTCTGATGAAGGTGAAATAGCCAGTTCCCACTCAGCAACAGAAATGAGCCATGTAACATAAGGCTACTGAAATCTGCTTAGGCAGTTTTACTTAAGGGCACACTTTCTTCGCAGCATTTGGTACCAAGCTGAGAACATGTACTACACTGAATTTCCGCTACCATCAACGTCAGAACTGGCTGTTTTAGAGAAATAAGGAAGCAAAAAAAAAAGAAAAAAGCATAGCAACCTTCAAGATCACTGACAACTATTGAATGTATCAATGTGAAGTAGAGCGAGAAAACCCAAACTGTGTTCAGGTTTGTGTCTAACATCCAGGTGGTCTAACATCTGTCTGTGTGTATGTGTGTGTGTGTGTTGCAGATTTCATCCACAAGATTACAGTGCAGGCATCTCCAGGCCTGGAGAAGAGGCGGAACTCTCCTGATTTGGGTTCGGGCTCCTCACCCTCCTTCGGCCCTCGTTTCCGTGCAATCCAACGTGAGTGCAGTCATTTTCTCCCTTGGATAAACACATGCACACGCACAGGTTCACAGGTGTGCACACAGTGTGAGTGTGCTTCCAGAGAAAACAAGAGAATGGGGGATCTCTCGCCTTCATGCAGGCACACAAAGACTATGTTGCAACATTATTTCTTTGAGTTTCCAAATTCTCTCCTTTCATGTGCTCCCAACCACCCACTCGTCTTTTTTGTCTTCCCCTGTTTCCCTGTGGGCCCCCTCTCTCTCTCTCCGTCTCTCCCCCTCCCTGCCTTACTGCTTTCTCTCTCTCACACACACACCCTTTTCCCTTTTCAACAGTCTGTTCCAGTCCAAATATTATCTGACTTCCTCTCAGCGGCTCAGCACTTCTCAGCAGCTTTTTTCCACTGCAGCCCTGCTCTGCTCCCCCTGCCTGCAGTTATCTCGTTGCTGCAGCGGGGGGAGCCCTTGAGCTTTATTTTCCAGGCAGAAAAGGGTTTTATATGCATGTAGTGGCTACAGTGTGGTTTACTGAATTAAAAATAAGCAGGGAGGAATTCATTGCTCCAGGAGAAGGGGTTGAGAAGGGTTGCAGCAGCGGCAGAGATTTACAATACTCTTCTGCTTGTCAGGCTCTTAGACAAACGCCCCGAGATCGTTTCCCTTCGGAGGGAAATTGTAGCCAGTAGGTCACGGGGCGTCTTAACAAAACCCAAAAGGAAATTTGTGGTGTAGCAACAGGCAGTGAAAGGGATTTTTCAAAACAATTACCACCGGGGGTTTACATGAAAGCACAAATTGCGGTGAAACATTTATCTGTAAAAGTGGTTAGTAAATCCAAAACATCTGCCAGCTTCATTTACTCATCAAATAGAGGGCTGGTTTTCTTTACTTCCTAATGACTTTCCTTAATGGCAATCACTAAGCCATGAGTGTGCCTGTCATTAAAATGTGTTTAGTGGATATTTATGCTTGCCCTCTCAGTAGCGAGCAGTGATTTATTGCTGGGGCCTCCCAAACTTATTTGTCGAGAGAACTGCCAAATTGATTTGCATTAGTCCTCAGAGTTCCATTCAACAAGATGTAGTATTGGAGGGCACAATGAAACCTACAGAATGATTGCCTTAGAAGTCATGTCTCTCATTGTGCCATATTCTCCTGAATTGGACAACTGTATCATATGTATTGGCAGCGTATGGATATTTCTATGCTCATTTATTTTTTCTATATGTGGGGGCAGGATTAGCTTTGGTTGTTGTGCTTCTCTCCAAGTCCTCATTCCAGTTCCAGTACCCGAGGTATACAATTCTCTACATTTCTATGTTTATATGATGATGTAAAAGCTATCATTTTTAGCCATGCTAGCGGCGTAGCTCTAGGGATGGCAGTGATGGTTGAGTCAGCCAGTCCACCACTTTGGTCCAGACTGAAATATCTCAAGTAATCATCCGTGGATTGGGATAAAATTTAAATATCTGTCCCCAGAGATGATCTCCTGGGTTTACTTTAGGGCTACCACCAGATTAACATCTTCACTCATCCAGTGAAATATCTCAACATTTACTTGAAGGATTGAAGCAATATTTGGTACAGACATTCACATCCCCTTCAAGGTGAATTGTAATAGCTTTTGACATTTCCATCTGAGCCATGCCATTGTTCCGACCGCCCATTATTCCGAAACCCCAGTTGTCTGAAAAAATGTCCCGCTAGACTGAAAGCCCATTCTTTTGGCACCTTGTTGATCCAAAAACAAGCACCTATTGCTCCAAAGGCCCGCTGCCCCTGAAAGTACATTTACCAACTTACAAATGTAACTTCACGGACATGACTACTAAACATACTTATTTTAACCCAAACCTTGATCTTTTCCTAAACCTCACCAAGTAGTTTTGTTGCCTAGACCTAACCAAACTGTGATAGTTTCACAATCTTAACAGCATGTTTATTATTGTTAGCATAATGACAGAAGTTCCCATACCGTGATGAGGGAGATCACCTGACTTCATCCTTTCCTTCATGTCCAAATACACCAAGATATTAATTCCAGGGACAGTGTGTAACTTTGGGAACACAGGCCTTCGGAGCAGTGGACTTTCACAGTCTCTCGTTCCAGTGAGACATTTTTTGGAGTAGGGAGTTTTGGAATAATGAGCTGTTGGAACAATGGCATGGCTCCAATGGGAATGTCATTAGTTTTATATGTTTTTGAGATATACAGGAAAGGGGGGAGAGACAGAGAGGGGATGTCACACAGCAAAGGGCCACAGGTCGGACTCGAACCCATAGCCGCTGCAGCAAGGACTCACCCTTGGTACATGTGTTTGTTCATAACTGGACAAAACAACATTTTGACCTGATGATGACAAAATTAAAAAATTAAATTTAAAAAAGCTATTTAAATTCACCTGAAGGAGCTGTGAATGTCTTTACCCAATTTTGCTCCAACCCCTCAAGTACATGTCAATATTTCACTGGATTAGTGAATCAGAACATTGAAACAATGGGCAGTTCCTTTCCCATCAGCCAGGACGTTGTGTTCAGTGCTAATGAGCAAATGTTACCATGCTAACGCACTAAAATAAGATGTTGGACATAATACCTGCCAAACATCAGCATGTTTGCATTGCCACTATGAGCATGTTACCATACTGACGGTACACAGAGTCTCTTTGTTTCATACAGTATATAGCAGTAAATTAGTGTCACCTTGGTCATCCATCTGTGTAACAAAAGTAATCTTTTCTCCATACTTTCTTTCCCAGTGACAGACAATATTAAGCTTGACACATGCAGACTAAATATTTGCACTTGTGAAATATACAAGAAGTATTATGACTATCAAGACAAATTCCATCAAAACATGATGAAATTTACAGTGACATATTGCAAAAGGAAAATGTGTTTACAGAGGAATATGCTGCGAAAGGGGGAAGTTTTTTTCAAGCCACGGTTTGATCTTGATGAAATTGCAATGCTGACACTATCACCTGACTTCTGTGCTTGCTTTGAAAACATTGTGCTGGAGAGTGATGGGAAGCAAAGTGCACCAGCCAAGCCTTCGGTGTAGTAGAGGCCAAAGAAAATAATAAATGTCCATTCAGAGAGCATATTTACTTTCTCCCATTTCTGAGGCTGAAATGAAATGGCATGAATGAGGGAATCACTGGAAACAAGCAGCACCAGAACTCAGTGAAATAAAAGAGTAGGTTTACAACGGTGCCCGTACCACTTTTGTCTCTTCTTCTGACTAACAGGATGGGTGTTCTGTTGAGAAGTTTCAATACATAGAGCTTTTTAAAGGGTGTGATGGAGACTGTATGTTGGCAGGTGTTGTGGCATAATATACATGCTGTTGTGTGAATGAATGCTCACACAACGTTCACACACTTTGCGTTAGCAGCACAAGCCAGTTGGTGGGGAGGATGGATGGATGAGATATGTTGCCAGATCCTGGGTAGAGAGTGTGAATGGCAGGTGAAATCCCAACTTTTACTAGCACTCTGCCCTTCCTCACATCATTTCCCGGGTGACTTTGGCTCTGTGAACCATATGGGGCTTACTATCTAGACTACATTCACATGATGAGGTTATCTTAACACTGTTTCAGAGTTAGGCAGGTCTTAAACTGTGCAAAAATGTGAGTAGAAAAGCGCATTGAATTTTCATGAATTCCAGCCGTAGTGGGAGTCAATTAAAGGTCATTGTGTTGGAGATGATTGCAAGGCTGTGTCGATTTACTGGTGCAACCTGCCTTTTAAAAAAGCTCACCTCATTAGAATACAGCTAAGCAGAATGCATAACGATAACGCACAAGCTAATATTAATTTAACCCTGTTTTTTCCCCTGCAGTCAGTCCCAGTGACAACAGCAGGACATTTGGCCTGAGCTCAGTCTGGCCCCTGGAGGCCCCATCTCTTAAACAAGCCAATGGAGACTTGAGGTTGGGTCCCCACTGGAGACCCCAGAGCCCAAAAAGTCCCAAAAGCCCTAAAGTCCTGCGCCTTAGTCCCCAGGAAAGCAGGTACAGCAAGACTGCCTTTTTCTTTTACGTGTAAAAATGTAATATTTACATTGATTTTAATTGCACTCAACTTCATTTGTCAGCATACTTAATTGTTTTTCAATTTCTCTGCACTGCCAGTCTGTCGATGAGGGCCAAGCTCCTGGAGTCGGACAGCAATGAGAATGGAGAGTCCAAGGATGACTTTGAGGAGTACAGACCCTCCACGCCAAACCCCCTTGCTCAGAACGGTACGCGATGCCCTCCATCACAAGCCTAACCCCCAGCCGCATATCTTCCATTAGCTGCTGTTACAGTTCACACTGGCATGAGTGTGAATTATGAATAAAAGCTAAATGAATAATAAATGCCTTGTCTCTTTCTCCTTCTTTGTCTTTTTAAAAGTTAAAAACCCATTTTTCTCTCTGTGCAGGCTCCTCAGTGAAGGACAGCCTGCGGCTTCCTCTACCTCAGCGAGACTCGGGCAGCGAGGAAGGGGGTTCCTCCCCGGCTGGTTCCCCCAGGCCTGAGAGGGGTTCCTTCAGTGGCCACATTAAGAGCACCCACCAGGCCCTGCTGGGCAGTGGCTCCCTCCTGGCCTCCATAGGACTAGGTCGCTGCCTGGATATTCCCCCAAGGGTGCCCCCTCGAACTCACCTCTCTTCCCTAGGGGACCGCACCCCTTCCGAACCGGAGATCTCCTCCCCTAAGCCCCTCATTTCAGACCCCCCAGTAGTGGACGATCTCATCACTTTCTCCACCTCCGAGCAGCTCCCCAGGCCGCTCTTGGATTTAGCCCTGCAGTACCAAGAACTGAAGCCCTTGCCCCTGACGCCGCCTCCGCCGAACCCCCGTGAGAGGAGCAGCCACCGGACGCCACAGATGCTGCACAGTCCGCAGAGCCCCAAGACCCCCCTGCAGCACGGTGGGGCCAGCCCAGGGGAATGGACCCCGAGTTCCTGTTCAACTAACGGGGAGCTGGGCTGTGAGGCCTGGGAGCACAGAGCTGACAGGAGGAGGAGGTCCAGCCAAGGCCTGCACACCTCTCAGCTAGGTAAGTCTGACTTTTTCACCTTAAGGGGTCATTCTACCAGTGGGACAAGTCAAAGTCGGTTAACTAGACTGGGAGAATCTATGTATTGTTAATAGAAAGCCTTAGGGTGTGTTCAAAGTTGCATACTATTACTAACATATTAATTATACTCAGTATGAGGTCAGATTGGTTATGGAGCACGCCAACTGCGTAGTATGTGAGAAATACCCGGATGTATATTAAATTAGCAAGAGCTTCTGAGCATGTGGCAGACAGCTCTAGCCAGTTTTTTACTATTTCCGTGTGTTATTTCACCACTAAATGAATTCACTTCTGAGAATATTTGAGGCGAGAAATGAAATGTGTAGGCTTTGAATGTTGGCAGTTTTTTTTAATTGAGGCCGACTTGAAAATGTGCTCAAACGTACTCGGAGTTGAGAGCATCCACTAGCGCCAGCGGGGGTAGCAAGCAAGCCAGCCCTGAGGGGCTTCCTGCCAGCCTGCCACAGACCCCTCTCACCCCGCACTGAGTCAGACAGTCAACACAGCAGATGACTACAGCAACATTTCTATCTACTCTATCGTATTCATTTCATTGAGGAGACAGTATGCAGCACATACTGATTGACTATGTAGTAGGCAGTAGGTTAGTATGAACACACACACAAGTTGCATTATGGGCAATGTAGAACATCCAGTATTCTGGGAGTGTGACTCATACAGTGGCATAAAAGTCAGCCATCGTGGCCTCTGCTGCTTTGATCATGACCATTCTTTTTATTATTTGTCTTTTGCAAGACTCCCAACTTTATGAGTGCAATACTGAAGCTTGCCCTTTTTAAATTACAGTCTCCCCTCCAGATTGCGTCCACGATTTGGTTTTTAATTTATCTCCGCAATTCATCTGCAATTCCTTAAGAGCACTGACCATGTTTTGCTTTTTCTGGAGGCCGCACACCAAAATTGAATCCAACGTTTTACCTTAAATAATGTACCTCCTCAGCATGACAATGTTCCCTCACAGTTCTTTCAAAATGAGTATTGTACCTTTTTTAGCAAGATCTTTCTGGCACAGGGGAAGCTTCAATGCTGCACAGGGTTTTTCATTTACATCAAAGCTTGTCTTCAGCTATTTGCATATCTCAGGTAACAGCTGGCCCTCCATACTTCACTGCTAATACTTGCTAAGCAAAGCTAGCATCCAATCCTCTGTTGTTTTGTTCCCTTTTTTTCTAGTCAGAGTTCTCTTTTATTGCAAAGTTAAAGATGAATGCAAATCATCCGGCGGCACAGCTGAGGTCATGCAGACAGAAAGTGCTGGATTCAAAATTGCTAATAATCTATTCCTGACTTCACCGCCACCGCAGTGTCTTTCTGGACACCTCCTCAGATAGTTTGGGAGTTTGGCTGGAGCTCAGCACTCCAGTTAAATTGCATTTTTATAAATAGGCATATCAAACATGTGCCTATGTGCCATGTGTAAAAGATGCACACATGATTTCTCATGAAAGACGGATTAGCATTCATTAACACCCCTCCCTCCAAAATGACATGTGAAAGTATTCAGTTTTCGTGGGGCATGTTTATACTTTTGTTTTGATTCATGTAAGTGTCATGCTAACAGACATTATCTGCATATCAGCAACACTTTCTTTTACAGTACGTTCACGTTTTTCCCAAAGAGTAATATGCATTCCTTAGAAGCACTGACACAGTTCAGAGCCGTAATGACGGATGCGTGGGCATTGGCTGTTTCAAGAGTGAGTGGGCTTTACGAGGGCTTTAAGAGTGCCCTATGGTAACATTTCACACTCTATATCTGGTCCGTTTGACTCACAAAGGCTTTGATTCTCCATAGAGAGGTTCTTACAGCTCTGCCCCCAGGTACTGAGCAGGCATGCCTCGCCTGTTCTGCTGCTAACAACCGTAATCTCACAAACTGCACGCGTTCATTACATCAAAAAAGAGACAAAAAGCCACACATAATTAAACCGCGAGTGTTTTAGCTAAACATCTTATTATGTTTATCGACTATAATGACTCAGATGCATAGAGAGACTGCCACAAGGTTGCTTGCGGTGAATGGCTGCTCGAAAGAGAAAGATGAATGCAGAGGATTCCTTCACTGTTGTTTTTTGTCTGCTGCCGTGTGACTCCTGATTGCACTGTCTTGTCGGCTGAATGCTGTAGTTAAGCAGTCTCTGAGAGTCTGCGTCGATGTAAATAATGCCATTTGACCGACACGTCACATTTGAAAGTAGCAAATGTTCATTTAAGATGATTTATTCTGAGTTTAATGTTCTTGTCGGTGCTAATTTACACTTGCTGTTTGCTTGTTGCTCTGTCAACTAGTTACACAACGCTGCTATGTTATACTTTGTGTTTTGCAAATGCATTTCAGATTGGAAAGGAGTGTATAAAAGAAAACCGGGGCAACACTACAGCAGTTTGAGAGTAATTTGCAGATTAACAATTAAAGCCTCCTCAAGCAAGAAGGTGAAGGGCAGGATGATGAAGAGGTTTAATATCTTAGTTAATATTCAGCCTTTCTCTGATGTCTTTGTTTAAAGGGGAACTCCTCTACTTTATGTTACACATAAAGCTCAGTTTCCTTGTCATGGGGCCATGACGGTTATTTTGCGTTAGGCATTGCAATATTTGACAGAAAACCTGCTAAATAAACTGGGGGCATGGAGTTTGAAAGATGAAGGTGGGACAGTATAATGGAAGATGTTATTGAGTTGCATTAGGGGAGATGTAGGACCCAGTGTTTTTAAAGCTTGACTCATACTAGGGACTAAACTTTAGGTTATGCCTTGATTTTAACCCTTCTATTTGTTGTCTCTTGCATATTCCCTCAACCTTATAAAAGGGTAATAAGCTGGAATGTTTTTTTTTAAAATGTTCCTTCTTTCTGTTCCTTCCAGTTTTGGACCTGCCCTTGTGCCAAGATACACAGGACTCTGATGACAAACCTTCAGTGCCCTATTCTCTCCATCCCAACCCTGCCCTCTGGAGCCCCAAAACCCGCCGCCTGGAAGTCAGTGTCATCCCCCGTCCCCGCCCGTCTCCCATCCGCCAACGCATCGACCCCTGGAGCTTCATCTCAGCTGGTGGTGGGAACTCAAGTGGCGGCCGCAGCCCGAACCGGTCGGACAGCAACCTTCTGGGCTACCAGCCCTCCCCTACCAACCCTTTCCACAACTGTGACCCATTCCCCTCGCCTGACTGCGACCCATTCGCCCTCAAGGCTGACCCCTCGAGTGGCTCGGACACAGCTTCACCCTTTGACCCCTTCTCGGCTCCCTTTCCCACCTCCCGCTCTGCCCCGTGCTCCACTAACGGCTCGCCCACGCTGCCCTCGTTCCGTATAGCGCCCCTCAACCCGGCTGACTCGCCCCTCATTGACCTGGGCTGGGCGGCCTGCAGCAAGCCCCTGGATGGCACCAAAGAGAGAGCTCACCCTCGCAGGACACTTGGGCTCAAGCCCTTCAAGTCCCCGACGCAACTCAGAGATGACAGGTTCTAAACCTGTGGCAAGGCTGTCACAGGAACACAGCCCGGGACCCCTTCTACTACCATGTCCTACATTTTAACCAGGATTTGAAATCTTTTGAAAAAGGCTCACCCATCGCTCAATCCACTGAGGGAGGTTTCATTGCAGGTCCTATTTATAAGGCAGCCTACTGCTTTGGAAACCAGAAACCATTGAAAGGTGGTACAGTTGATTGTGCGATTGCTGCCTTTGAACCAATAGCTGGTGCCCATTTCATTCTCCCTCTCTTTCTCTGTTTCTCTATCCCTTTGAAGGAGCAGGACACCGATCACTAGTCCCATCTTCAGATTCTATCAGACTGCTCATATCACCTGCTTTCATCTCCCCCCTACCTTTGAAGCATTGTGACAATGCAGAGGTGGATAAGGCGACTTGCACAGCTTCATCTGCCTCTACCTCTCTGCAGACTGAAAGCATTCAGGACAATGGAAAATTGGAGTGCCTTATTTCGTGAAGTGTTTTTAATATATATCCTTTCAAGGTTCCTTGAATGGTTAATCTGGTGCGTAGGAAAGATGCTACGAATTTGGCTTAAATTTGAAAATCAGCTTAGCATTTCTGTGGAAGAAAATGTTGTCTGCGTGTGCATGTATGTCTAGACTCATTGTTCAAGGAAAGCTTGCTGTTTTCTTTTTTTTAACAGCATCTGCCTGTTGCATTATGGGAGAAAGCACTCAGAGTGGATATTCCAGGCCACTTGTGAAATCCAAGACAAAACCATGACCCAGGCATTCCACTTGGAAGCAGATAACATTCCAGTCACATTCTCTGGGAAATGCCAGGGATTGGACAGATTCATTTGGCTGGCAGGCGACACAGCACAGGAAACAGGACGGGGGAGCCCTCTGCATTCCCTTCATATGCCAAAGAATGCCACTGTGACAGAGTAAGGGCTGGGACAAAGAGTGTTTGCAAATAAATTGTTTTTACCTCCATGGAGTGCCAGATGGGTGGGGTTTGCCACACTGGACAGCACAGAGAGCTGAGACAGTATTTAAACATGATATGATATGCTTTTCTGTGGTTCTTTTTCAATATCACCCAGATTGTCTTATCACCACCCGTCTGATGCTGTAGGAAGGTTCAACCAAATACTCACTATTTGCAAATATGTCAGTATGGAAGTTTCAGTGAATACTGTATTTGTACAGTCCACCAGAGTCACCGCAAAGCCAGCCCACATTTTCACACTGTCTTGGACCACATGATGAACACTTCTCTCCGTGACCTGATTGGACAAAGGCACCACTCACCCAGCTGTCACTAGGCCTTTCTTCTTGAACTGGGAAATCCATTATGGTTCTTCTAATCATTTTAAATTTCTCCTGAAATTTAGTTTCTGACAGAATATGATCCATAAATTAGCCATGACAGTTAAAAATCATGCTACTAGTATGCACATGTATAACACCTAATTTTAAAGAAATAGTTTGACATTTTGAAAAGAAAAGATTGATATCTGTTGACTAGATGTAACAAAATCGACCTTCCAGCTCCTCTAAAGTAGCCACATTATAACTTGTTTGTTTAATAGCATTAAGTTTCCACCCTAAGGTTAAACAAATTAAACAAACAAGATATAATGTGTTAGCGAGCTTTAGAGGTGCTCCTAGGTTACTTTTGTTCCCTCTGGACAGAGCCAGGGTAGTTGTTTCCCCCTGTTTCCAGTCTTTGTACTTAGCTAAGCTAACCATGTAAGATGGTTGGTGATGGGTAACTTCAAAACTTTGGCTGATTGCTCACACATCTCGTCAGTCTCCATCAGATCTTGTGAGATGTTGGCTGGCTTTGCAAGACTTGCAGGGCTTCTAAACTCAAAAAATCCATCCTAAACCATTTAAACACTACTAAAACGATCTGGTAGGATCCTGTGGATAACTGTGAGGTCATGTTGAGATACTTCCAAAACAGATAAAGTAGTAGTATCAACAGTGAATGTTAATATAGGGAGAAATGTAGTGACGCTGAAATCTTAATTTTCCACCAACAGCAGTCTCAGCAGACCAGAATGCACTGGTGCAGCATCTGAAAAACTTGCTCTTTCAAAAATCGTTATCATCGCTGATCGTTCTGCATACTAAATGTAATATGTTCAGGCACTTTATCTGGTTTTTCAAAAAGCATCCTGGGAAATGTATGACTTGAGGCAGGTTGAGGGACTGTGGATGCAGCAACAAATACTTCACCACAAAATAATCCTGGAATGGGTTAGACATCACAGACAGGTGATGCACAACAGTATCCCGGAGTGGCGGTCAGCTGGTTCTCAAGCATGTAGTCTATTAACATAATTGGTGTAGGTAAAGCATGTAAGCGACTGAAAGAGACCCACTTACGCATGGCGCAAAATCGTCCCGTTACCCACGTCTTTGCTGGAGCATTACGAGGTGCAAATGCTGATTGGGTTCATCACTGACACCATGTCATTGGTAGACAATAATGGCTTTGTTCTGATGAAGAGTGAAAACCTCGTCTCCAAAGGGGAAAGCTTTGTGATTAGCCTAATAATCCTTCTGATGAACAGGGGAGGCTGATAGTGATAATTAGCCTCTTGATAAGAGCAGGGAGCATTAACAAAGCGTTCAGATATTTGGTTAATTAATTTGCCCCAACGTTACGAAAATGCCCTGCGTCCTCCTCGCAAGGTATCGAGCCGCTTCCTTCATCGGCTTACGTCTCGATTTAAGCCGTGCCCTGTTTTATGCATAAAGTTTCAAAGACAGGTTGAGCTGTCTTTCCTCCGTTTCCTTCCTTTTTTTCTCTGTTGCCACTGGCTGCTCAGCTGCAGACCGGATGAAATCTCCACAGTCAAGGCTCACCCTCTTCTACGTCCTCCCCCCCTCAGGTGATGAGGGAGATTTTCGTTCTATGTTCTTCATAGTCCTGCTCCCTCGCTTCCTTCTTCTCTGGAAAGTTTTCTTGAGGGCAGTTTTGTCCTGACACTGCAGAGCACTCAATTCAGTAACAGCCAGGTTTCTATCCAGGAAAAAGAAATGGAAATGGTTTGAATGGCTGCAGTTGAAGATGGGGTGAAAAGCCTGTCCTTACAGAGAGGGGTGAGACTTGATGAATAGTATAAATGGGCATAAAAGCACACATTTCTGTTTCTTCTTGAAAGTGATCATGGAGTTGCACTTGGGCATGCGTGAAAATCTGTGGAAGTAGTTGTGTCAATGGGCAGCAATGGGCAATGGCAAAAAAAGGGCATGAATGTTAGATTTGGTTGGTCAGATCTGTTTCGGAAAGATACAAAAATTGTCGAATGAACTCATTATTATTATTTACATGGTTAGCACTTACCTGGAGGGTTAAAAAGTTATACCCACAAGGGGCAAGTCAATTCTAAATCTTCCCTGGCCGGAATATCTTTCTTGAGGGCTTGAGATTTGCACAACTTGAACAGAACTAAAGATGGCAACACTTGAGGAGGTTACTATCGGAACGTAGACAAAGCGGCACCCGGTATATTGTAGTTAAGTGGTTTCCCTTTAAAGCCCAGGTACATCTTGCAGATACATGCAGTTAGTTTCTCAGAAATAATACATCCAATTCCCTGAACACAGGTAAAAGCAAGTGTATAAGCCACCATTCAGAATCGGACAGGATCATGCAAACAGTTATTTTATGTTGGCCTCAGGTCCAGTCTTACAATTCAGCTACATGTAAGCACTGTGGATCTTCCTTCATGTCGTGCAAAAGTTGGAGGTTTAATATAGAATTTGTCTCTGTCAGCAGTGTTCCCTACCATACTTGGCTCTCTTGTCCTCCTCACCAACATTTTACAGATGTGACAAGTGATGAGTTATTGCCTCGTATCTTCGTGTCAACACACAAAGCCACAAGAGCTATCCTCTGATAGTCATTAGGTTCAGATAGCTGTTATTGTCAACAGAGCTCCGTGAGGAGAAAAGCTAGATGAAGGAAATGGAGATGATTGAAACGTCTGGCAGATTATTTCTGTCACAAATTCTGTGTGTGTGTCAAGTATCCACTTCAACCTGCCACTCATGTCTTGTCTGTTTGTTCGCTCAGTGCTAGACTTTAATTTTCACTCAGACCTGATGTCGGAAAGTGTTACCTGCCATTCCCCGTTGGGTGATTGACTATGAAATCTTACTTGCAATAACGTAAGTCACTGTACTTTTCACATATGATTAAGTTATTGCATATTGTCAAAGCGGGTATTTGTTTCAGGTGGTTCATTTGAAGTGGTGAGAGACCCTTCTGCATATAGAAATACATCGGAATATTTCAAATGTATGCTATTTTATACATAACAAATTCTCCTGTCTCAGCTTTTAAGGCGTAATCTAAATCTGACAGAACTGAAGTTTAGTTGCTGAGGGAATAAATGGGACACATTTTAGGAAGTCTTTTGTGGACATGGACGTCCGATTCTTGGTTTTGGCTGTCAGATTTAGGAAGCATAACTGCCACTCGTCTGCTGGAGCTGACAGCAGGCACTCGAATAAGGAAGTCCTGATGAGTTGTTTGTGACGCTCTGCTCTTCCAGGCATCGCCCCATCCGTCATCACAAATCAGTGTCCCGAGCAGAAACTGAAGGGGAGAATGGAAGTGAATTCTCTGCAGGAGAGAGCGATATCTGGCCACCGGTGATCCACTTTTAGCCCCGCAGTGGCAGGGAGCAGACGTGATTTGATGATCTAAATCCAAAGTTCAAGCTCAGACCATTGCCCCTAATCAGCGAATGGCAAATGGTCAATACATTACATGAATAAAAGCTAATGAGACACACAGTGGAGGAACCAAAAGCCCAGACCCTCATCACACCAAGGGGCTACTTGTGAGCGGTGGTTGTTTTTTAGAATTTCAGAGGTGAAAAATCAGAGCTATTATCTAGATGGAAAAAAAAAACATGTTGCAAGCTAGTTATTTCCTGGCTTTGTGAAGGGGGAACAGTTGAAAGTGTTGCCTAATGCAACCATCCATTGGGGTTACTCTCGCTCTTAAAGGTTAATTCGGCTTTGTTCACAGCGGATATGTTTACATGCATACTAATTAACTGATTTGCCCTGATTAAGCCATTGATTCAATAGCGGTAGCGGTGGTCATGTTAATGGCTTATGGATTTGCATGGGATAAATAGTACTCAGGGATATTCAGTTATCTCTAATAACATTGGAATTAATAATGCCAGCCCCTTATAAACATTAAATAATTCCAAAATTCCAGTGCATACCCTAGGAATTTTAATCAGTTCCTTGTCAGACTTAAGATGTTGGCGGCATAACACATTTTGTTTTGGTTGCTGTGTAGTATGGAAAACAAAAACACAGTAAAAGGTTGTCAGACATTACAGCAATATAACTGAAAGTGTACAAAGAAATATAAAGCTTTATACTTTTCCGTAAACCTCCACTCAGTTGGTTAAAAACACCAATCAGTTGATAAAATGAATTAAAACTTCATTAACTGAACTACTCTATTTATATATGCAGTAGTTTGACTGTGGTTCACTCTGTATCTGAGAATGTAACATTAAAGTGTAAACCCATCAGCTTGAAATACAGAGAGGGTCTCATACTGAGAAAGGCTGAATGTTGTTACTGCACAGCCTTCTGGGTAAACTAACCAAGCTCCCAGACCGAAACAAGTGAACCACGGTTACTAGGGAAAATTGAATCCCATCAAATTCTCACTTGTGTTATTGAACAGTCACCATGTTCTGATTACTCAAAATAACCGAGCACAGGGTGCATGCAAACATACCGGTTACTAGTGTTTGACTTTAAGGAAGTCAGCAAGTCAAGTCAGGAGGGGACTGTATTTCTTACTACTGCAGCTCTGGTTAAATCATGTTTCTCTCCTTCATGGTTACTGATAAAATTGGAGAAGGATTCAACAAGGATGGAGGGAGAAAAAAATCAAGCTGAACACGTGTCATATTTATTTTATTGATGAAATCTTACCTTGGCGGGTCAGCGAGGAGTGAATTCTGAAACGACGAAATAGATGGCCTGGCATTTCAACGGCTTTCACCCCATTTACCTCTGCTGCCTTTGCTTGCTTGTGTTCAATTAAGTGGAGGTTACAAATATACCTGGTCATCAGCCTCGTTTTAGCTGTCTCACAGCCAGCCGTCAGTGCCAGAGACACATTATTGCTCTTTCTGGCTCATATTAAACTGAAACACCTGCTTTGGCATTAACAGGCCGAGACCAAATGATCAAATATGACCTTTCATTGACTGTACAGGAATTGCACATCCCAATAGGGATGTGGACAAAAGCCATGTCTGCAAGAGGCGCCGCCAGGTGCGTAAGCTAATGCTCGGTCTCCCAAAGTGTGAGTATTATTCCTAATTCTTTTCAGTCTGTGCATCCAAGGTCACCATCTGCTGTCCTCTATAACAACGAAAACTGAATGAATGGGAGCCATGCAAGGAGGACCAATTTGTTTCCAAGACCACAGTGACGGCTCTCAGAGAAGGCTGGCTCTCTGTTGAGAAAATAAACATGGATTTTATCTATGAGGTCATTAAGTTCAGGGCCCATACACTCGCCTACCCCCCACCCCCCCTCCAACTTAACAGCCTCACGGTCGTGATTATTGTTCTGCCTAGCTATTGACACTCAATTACCTTGTGATCTTCCTGGAATAGAAGCCTTTCAATCCGTACATTTCTGTTTCTGGATTGTTGAATGAGTGCACTGCAAACCAATTGATTGAGTAAACAGCCCTTGTGTCTCTGACTGCAAAGTGATTTATTGTTGTCTCTACAACATTGTTTGCAGATAAGGGGAATGAAATAGCTGATATACTTGGCATTTTTCTTAATCATCCAATGCCATACTACGTGTCAGGGTGCATCAGATAGTTCCAGGTCAGACCAGAGAGTACAACACACTTGATGCCCTTGAAACTTGGTGATGTAGTTATTTGCTGCTCCAGGAGTACCCACCTCGCCTTAAAAACGCTAAGAAGATGAGTTTGTATTCTTCCTGTGACGTGTTTTATGAATCTATTTTTTTTCGGGGGTCAGTCAGTTCATTTGGATGACACCGGCCATTGCCTTGCTAACTAGCCCTGTGAGCTAACTTTTTGAACTCTCTGGATTTTTGTTCTCTCAAAGCTTAAGCTAACCTAAATAGGTCACTGACATGAATTTGCATGTCAAAGTTCAAATTAAAAAAAAAACTATGCTTGATTTTAGTTCACCTCTGCGTAGAGAAGTTGTTGCTCTGATTCCAGTGAAATTAATTGATTTTGGTCAAATGTTGATGGAACATGGACATGGTCTCTCAGGCAACATCTGGCAATTGGATGGGTGGATGGATAGATTGTAGACGAAACAATGATAGGCAGGTGTGATTGGACATTCCAATTAAGTCCGCAGCAACACGCCAAATGTCCAATGTTATAACAAAAATGATTATGAGTGCCTAAGTGACTAAAATGTCTGGGATCCGTCTCGTGAAGATCCAGAATACGTGCTATGATGGTAGTATGAGGGCTAAGTCTACTGCTGACACTTAACCTTATCACTCTCTTCTAAGGCACAAATATAATTCAGGGTAAAAGATTTAACTGAGGCTTGAGGGTATTTAGCAGTAGGTGGTCTCTTTCAGGTGCTCATGCCTGGGCTTAAATAACTGAACTCTAAATGATCCACAGAGGCAATTTGAAACGGTTTGGATGGTACAAATCCCCATGACTCACTGGTCAAATCTCTTCCACTCATGGCATCACAGTACTGTAAAAGGCTTTTCCTTCTGACAGCTTCCTACCAGCCAGCAAAGGACATTTCCAAAATTTATATAAAGGGGGGCGGGGAGAGATATTTATAAGTGGCCATCTTTTTACACACTGGATCAAAACTATTTCTCTTTCTAGATGGCCATGGACACAGTCTACATTAGGATGATGGACTGATTGCTTCATATGAACAAACATTGTATAGGTTTTCACTGGAGTATTTAAGATGTGTGTATGGGTGCTTCACATGAGGCAGATTCACTTTACATTCCAGTTCTTCAATTCGACCAAATCTGTATCATAATAATTCCTCTACAAGCCCCAGTATTTGTGTGTAGCAGAAAATTCAGCAGAATTGCCTGGTAGAGCTTGAAATCTGGTTCTTTGTGTACATTGCAGCAAAAGCCCAAACCTAAATCGCAGTCTAATGTCCCCTAGGGGCACCCATACTGATTTTTTATGTGCATAAAACTGCTAGATAGAGACGAGGATTTTGTCACTACCTTAAAGTGGTAGGCAAGGTTGACCTCCTCTCTGTCTTTGTATCTATTTTGCTTTTATTGTAATTGTTCCAGATTCATTTCCATGTCTATTTTGTGTTTTATTACAACCTAGGCGATGTGATAACGCAATTGTTGCATTGCCCTGGCAGCCATTTTTACATCTCTCTCAGAACTGTCTCTGCTCACACGAGTTAGAGGTTTTGCGGTCGTCGGGCTTTGGAAATTCGTTATTGTTGCATTTTTGTGAAATCTCGCACTGGGCTGGGCCTAATCAACTGTTTTTATTGTTGTGTGTCAAAGAGGACTATTTCTGTATACAGTATGTGAAAAATGTTTTTATTTCTCTTGACTATTATAATGGGTTTTAACCTGTGGAAAAAAAAAACAAAGGAAAAAGCTCAAAAAGAGATAAGACCAAATAAAATGTAACACTCCTGACTTGTTTGTGACTTTATTCTTATCATGTGTTCTTAACAGGTGGGACAATAGGATATGGTGTCAGTATCAGTTTTATCTTTAGCACTTTTTACAAGTTGATTGATCGTATTGGTCTGTCACACCTACCATGTTTGGTCTGAACTGACTTTTCAGTTTGATCAAACTAAAAGTACTACTGGAGGGAAAACCTCACCCGGACTAGTGCCTGAAATGGGTTTGTACTCAATACTTCTGTGCCCCAGACCACAGTCCAGACCAGGCAACTGAACCCTGGTCTGATGAAAAGAGGTTCAGATCAAAAAGAATGGTTTGTTTGTAGTGTTCAAACATTTTTTTGGAAGATTCTGACTTTTGGACCAAATACAGGAAGTTCTGGCAGACTATCATTAGAACCAGTAAAAGGAAAGTACGTGGGGAGAGGAGGAGACCAAATGTTTAATTGACATTTGGGCCAAGGACTTTATAAAGAGTCTGTTGGAAAAACTTCACAAAACATCTGACTCTGAGGACGGGAGAACAATGCAACAATCCAAGCAATAAGCATAGTATAGGGAGATGCAGCTCATGTAGGTGTAGTATGTCATGTATGGTTCTTTAGTGCACTCAAGAAATTGTGATTTTATGATCTCAACATAACACTAATTATTATTCTGTGATCACGAGGAAAGTTCTGATGTTCTGTTTTTTGGGTATGAAAAATTAGTATTTTTGTCATTTTCAGCTTTTTAGTCTCCATATAAAGTCTCTATTTTGTTTTGACACAATCACAACCAAAAACTGCAACTGCAAGGTCCATTTAATTGCTGTTCTGCAGCGTGCAGTCATGTCACATTATGTTCATCAGTAGATGGAGTTTGCCCGGTTGTTATGGGATTGTGGTTGTTCAGATTTCCATTTTTTTTTTTTCAGAGCACTTTAAGGAATTTTTGTCAAAGTTCTGCCACAGCGGTGGAAGGAAATATTCTGTCATTACCATATTAAGACATCTTTTCACATCATTTACGGTCCATAAAATGGAATGAAGACCAGCATGGCTCATTGGAAATAATGGCTCTGTATGTATGCGTGTGCATCTTCTTTTTCTGTACCTGCGGCTAAAGCTGTTTTGTCAGTGGTGATGAGACCTGGTGCTACATGACAGCTGATGACAATGTGAGGACAGTGCCTGGCATGTGTGTTTTTTCCTAAACGCCACAAATATTTGCCCACTCGAGCAGACCCACGAATGCACTCGCGCTTTTTCCCTCACTGTGTTAGTTTCTTGTCAGACCAGATGTTCTGTCTCCTGCAGTGTGTGACTTGCTATCTTGAGTGAAGAGAAGATGTAATGCAGCAGAATAGATAATGAGGCCTCTGATGTTTTTAACTTCCAAATAGACCCACATTAAACCCTTCAGACCTCCATCTAATCAGATTTTTTTCTTCAATGGGAAGATTTTAGGTTGATAATTATGAGGGTGAAGCCTTATATCAGTTATACACGTACTTACTTACTTATACTAGAATTATGCTATTAACATAACATAATAACAGCCAGCCAGCCAGCCAATAACAGCGTCTTTGAGCTACTGAGATATAATTCCCTCAAATACACCTTGTTTGAACACTTTGCACCGGGATGTCATCTGAAGGAAGGAAGGACTGCAAGGTAATTGCAGCCTATGCAGCGCAGCCGCAAGCTCCCTTCAAATATGAAATTTCTCAATAGAAAGGTCATCATCTCAAACATGAATCTGTTTGAAGAACTGGAGGAACAACATGGGGTGGTGCTGGGGGTTGGGTAGGTGGATGGACATGCTGAGACACGGCGCAGCACTTTACTACGACTCTCCCTTCTCATCAAGACTGTCAGTCAACCGGGTAACACAGAGAATGAGGAATTGGCAGCGTCAGCGAGGATGTGATGGAGAAACTATCTGCAACGGCTGACCCTCCTCTACCCTGGCACAAGTCTCCAAGGCTCTTGTTGCCATGGACACTGTGAATGAAAAGTCTGTAAAGCTCAGTGGTGTGGCTCTGCAGGGTCTTCACACTGAGCACTTTTTTTTCTTTTCATTTGGTCTTACATTAATCATATGATTTATTTTGTATATATTCCGTTGAATAAAGTATTATATTTATTATATTCAATACGGGGTACATAAAAGTAAAGTTGTACCCACATTAAAAATAAAAAAGAGTCTATAAAATACTAAAATGAAGTATATGCAAAATAAAAATCAAAGTAAGAAGTGTCCACAAGGATGAGTTAAAACTGCATTAATTGACATTGAGAGAAATGTGTAGATGCTATGTTTACCAGCTAGTTGCTAACCTTGTAGGCAGCTGGGTAGCTAACTAGATAGCATATTGTGGGCTTTTCAGAGTTCATGTTTTTGGCATGTCAATCATCTGTCTCATTCTAAGGTACCAAAAACACAACACTTGTTATTTTCCGGTGATTATACACTAATGGAAACATATTTATGCATATTATATTCAATTTCTGCCCCTAAATGTTATATACTGGAACTTAAATATGTTTGTGATGTTAAAAATGTGATTACATGACTGGAGGAGTGCAGAAACAGTGTGACACATGTAGCAGCCATGTAGTCAGTGTGCTGTGAGCAGAGATGCAATGTCATATGAGGGTGATGAGACTGGGAGAGGTCAAAAGAACAGAAAGCTAGTCACCATGACAGGAAGTTCGTGTGTGTGTGCTTGTTTACATTTCTAAAATTGCATGTGGTCCTAATGGGAAAGTTAAAGTTTGTGGAGGAAATTCCACCTAATGTCACAAAATAATACATTTCCAAGGTTATCACCCACAAAGTGACATATATATAGGCTGTGTAATATTGATCCCAAGTGTCGATGCATACTGCATTAACCCCAGGAGGTCAAAATTCTCCACTGTTTGTTTTCTTGTGTATTGACCCAAAGTTTAACAACCTCAGTTCTGGATCTCTGCAGGGACACTTTCCCAGTTTCTGGAGCAGCACAATTTCCCACAATATCACAGAGATGCGAGAGGCCTGAGCTAACACACACACGCACACACGCACACTCAGTTTGTTGTTGATGTTTTCGTTGAACATTTAAAATTCTGGATCTGTTTGATTCGTCTCTCAGGAAGGAAATTCAAACATTCAAACAGTTTAACTGTTTAAATGTTTCACTGTCAGAATGTTTTAATGTTTTAATGTTTAACTGCAGTTTCCAGGATGTTCAGCAGCAAATAAACGCATAAATTCAAGTTAAAGTAATTAAAAGAGAAAATTAGACTTTTATGATCCTCTTCAAACAGTTTGTTCACATTTAATAAACTCAGAATCTCAAACATTAATTAATTAATACATAATTATATTTATAATAGACTTTCAATGAATGAACTCTGCAGTTGTTTGAATCTGAATTCAGTCTCACCTTTTTCTGCTGCACAGAGACACTTCCATCAGTATCCTCACTGACTGATCAACTGATTGATCAACTGATTGACAAACTAACAGTCTAACTGCTCAGTGTCTGAATCTATCTGCTCAAACTCTCTGTGTTTCTTCTGTTTTTCCCTCTTAAGGAAAAAAATTCAAACCAGGCGCAGATTTTCAAGTTAAAACAAACCAACCAAACCGTTTCCTGTCTGCACTTTCAAAATAAAGGCTTCTTTTTTTATTCAGTTAAAATAAACTATTTATTTTATTAGAGAAATCCACATTAATGAGTGGAAACTCTTCATCCACGTTGGGTCCAATGAGATTGAACTGTGATAGGATCAAAAGTTCTGGAACAGTCACTTAATGGACCTCGTGGTGGTTTTAATAGTCGTTGTTTTTAAGGTGAATAATAAAGTTTCATTATCTGTTTTCATGACAACAAAAACAGTTCACAGCTCAGTGATCAAAGAAATAAAATATAACATATATAGAAAATACAGAAAGAACCATAACAATCAATCAGTTCAGATCAATAACACAAACTACAACAGGTCAATCTAACAGGAAGTTACTATTTCTGATCAGACTAAAAAAATCAATTAATAAGTGGATTCAACACCAGGCTTTTACTGTGAAAATCACTGCTCTGCTTCCTGTGTTCACTGACATTATTATGTTCTGTCGCTTCCTGTGTGTGTGTGTGTG